TGATGTGATAAATGACCTTTTTTCATGTGTCCCCAATCCCAACATCAAAAGCTCCAGTTGGTTCTACTAATTACATGAATGGTGGAAATTGATGAAAGGTCTGTAATTTCTGTCTAAATCATTGCCTAGTGAAGCAGACACACATTCATGGATGCAAGAATCCAAGAGTAGAGGAGACTTCAAGAATGTAATCACCCCAAAATCAGCAAAGTCCTAGGAAGGGCTTTGGAATTACACAGATCTGGGCAATTTTATTTAGAACTCAAGGAATAGGGAGACCCCAGCTACCATCTGCATTATTCATGTCAACACAATAATAAATTTAATATTATTTATTTTGTATTGTTTTAAAAAAGATTTTATTTATTTATTTTAGAGAGAGAAAGAGAGAGAGTATGAGTGGGGAGGAGGAAACAGAGAGGAAGAAATAATCTAAAGCAGACTGTGCTGAGTATGGAGCTTGATCTCATGACCAGGAGATTATGACCTCAGTCAAAATCAAGAGTCAGAAGCTCAACCAACTGAACCACCAGGTGCCCCATATGTTTAAATATTATCAAAATCTTTATCATGGATGTTGGTATTAGTTGGAAGTTCAGATCAGTAGAAGCATTATTCCAAATGTGATCTTTGCCCTCCTGATAGACAGTTCCAGAGGCTAAAAATCCAATATGGGAGGACTTGGAAAAATTATATTTGGGTCATCTTGTTATCTCCAAATCTAGTTCTGACCTTTGTACCATTTCTTTCTTTCCTACTGTTCCTACTGTTACTCTGTACTTCAAATTTACATGAAGCCAAATTATCTTCTCTGACAGAGATGGACTACTTATTAAGGGGAGGCTGTTGGTTAGACAGCCATGGTGAAGTACGAGTACATACAAGTACATGTTGCCATGTCTTTGATATCACATGGGCAGTTTCCCAAATTGCAGTTAAACATAGTTCAAAATATTCCAGGAAATCTGTAACTCCAACACTGAAGGTATGTTGTCTCTTTAGAATCTTTAAGCACACATCTGGGAGCAAGGGGCTTGCTACATGTTTGTTTTTGGGCAGCTGTACAGTGAAAGTAGTTTTAAATATAAAGGGGGCTCTGAGTTTAATTTCTCACTGAAAGGAAAGCTTTTTGCTTCTTGCCCTGACCTACTTAAACTCCACCAAAGAGACATTGCTGGACAAACAAGAGCTTTCCTTGTCTGCTTTTGAAATGCCATTAAAATGATGAGACGAGCACACCAGGTCCATTTATAAAATAAAACTGTTTTAAGCCACAACTAGCAGCATTCCAATTCAGATTTTTCCAGACTTCATGTCTTTCTGTAACATTTGAAGAAACTATTTTATAATGTGTTAAAAATTTCTCTAAACTCTTAAGTTTTAGATATTTTATCATTTGGTATTGTATTTAAGATATAAATACAGAGGGAGTTAATATATATGTGGGAGTTATTGGTTTATTTGAATATCATGTTAAGAAATCTTCTGAGAAGTGTAAAGTTGTGGCTATAAATATGTTGTTTTCAGAGCTGGGTAGGTCATTGATGGGCTCTGCACGTCTTGGAATAATTTGAAACAGGATTTCCTGCAGTGAAAAATTTATTCTACCTAACTTTCCTGTGCTACTAGGTAATGAAAATAAGGGAAGAGTAACACATACTAAGAAAGACAAGGTGAATACACAGTAAAAAGAAAAAAAAATTTTACTAATGAGGCTACAATTAAGAGAAAAGAAAAGTTGACAGAATGTGTTGATAAGTCTCACAAATCTTTGTGGAATCACTGGGTTTATAGTCTTAAATTTTGCTGGTGAACAAATTTGAATAGGCTTACTCAGTATAAATCATGATAACCTCTGTTTCCTACAGCACTTCTCATGAGTTACCAAAATTTCTCATGTTAAAATATTACTTCAATGATAATTCATTTATTTATATTTTTTTAATTTATTTATGATAGTCACAGAGAGAGAGAGAGAGAGAGAGACAGAGACAGAGACAGACACAGGCAGAGGGAGAAGCAGGCTCCATGCACTGGGAGCCCGATGTAGGATTCAATCCTGGGTCTCCAGGATTGCGCCCTGGGCCAAAGGCAGGTGCCAAACCGCTGCGCCACCCAGGGATCCCTTCAATGACAATTTAAAAAAGCATCTAATATGTATTGAGTGCTCCCACATGATAGGCACTGCTAAATGCATTAATGCATCATTTTTGAGAGAGAGAGAGAGAGAGAAAGAATATGTATCAGAAGGGGTAGGGGTAGGGCAGAGGGAGAGAGGGAGAAAGAAGGTGAAAGAGGGAGAGAGAGAGAAAAGAGAATCTTAAGTAGGTTCCACACCCAGAATAGAGGCCAACCTGGGGTTTGTCGATCTCACAAACCTGAGATTATGACCTGAGCCAAAATCAAGAGTTAGACTCTTAGTCAACTGAGCCACCCAGGCACCCGATTGCATCATTTCTTTTAATCTTCAAAACAATCCCATGCATTAGTAGTAGCATTAACCCTATTTAGCAGATAAAATTATTCAGGTTCTGTGAGGTTAGGTAACTTCACTATGAGGCTAGCAAATTATGGAAATGAAGTATAATAACAATGGCTACAATTTTTATAGCAAGTAAAATAACATATTGAATCTTCATATCAACCCAACAATGGAGAGGAGAAGAGTAATGGAGAAAAAGTAGGGAAGCCAAAGTTTGAACCTTGTCAGTTTGACTCCAATTCTGAGTATGAGTATTAAGTTACAAAGGTGTGCTATCTGTAGCCTCTAGCCACATGTCATAATTCAAATTTAAATTAGTTAACTTATTTTAAAAGTTTGGCTTTTTAGTCACATTAGCTATATTCAAGTACTCACTAGCTAGGGACTACCATATTGGACAGCACAGATTGCAGTATACTTTCATCATTGCAGAAAGTTCTATTGAACAGTGCTGCTGATACTCTGTACTAATGTTTTCCTGATAAAGTTTTAATAAAATAATATGGACTCCAGGAAGAGATATGGGAAACAGTTCAATTTTATTATCAGTGCTAAACTAATCATCATTTGAAGTGGACTAATTTTACTGATGGTTACTAATTAATTTTATTTTTATTCTTCTTGTCATAAATTCCATGGGAGAAAAGTTTCTGATCTTGTCCTTAAAAATTAAAAATTTTGCATTGGGGGGATCTCTGGTGGCTCAGCGGTTTAGTGCCTGCCTTTGGCCCGGAGCGTGATCCTGGAGTCCCAGGATGAAGTCCCATGTTGGGTTCCCCCAATGGAGCCTGCTTCTCCCTCTGCCTGTGTCTCTGCCTCTCTCTCTCTCTGCGTCTCTCATGAATAAATAAATAAAATCTTTAAAGAAAATTTTTGGATTGCTAGTTTAGATCTGTGACTTCCCTTTTCATGGATTAAATAACTTATAATAATTTTCTACTTGGGAATATTAAGTTGGCAAAAATAATTTTAAGGAGACAAGAAGTACAAGATAGCCACTCTAAAAATTGAAATTCTTTCAATAAATAAATTCACAGTTTTTATTTATTTATTTATTTTTGCTAAGAAGGATAATGCTGTTTAAATGAACCATCATCTGTTTACTCATTTGAAACATGTCTCGCCTTTTATGAATGGCATATGTTGCTCTAGTTTAATGCAATTTCCAGAATAAAATAATCAAGAAGAAATGTTCTTACTTAGAATGACTATCTTTGTGTTTTTATGTATATCTAAGATGGGTTCTTCTCTGCATGTCTTGTCTTTGACGTAATTAAATAAAAGGAGAAATGCAACTTACTGCCTATATACTGACATTCTGGATACCTGTTGGATTCATTCCAATTTATGAAGGTGTTCTGAATGATAATTTCAGAATTGATTGGATACATTTCAGATGGAGATCTGTTTCTATGGCAACATACTAGGTTTACAGATTGAAAGACTATTGTAAACAGCATTAACCAAAATTGCATATGCACAGGATGACTCCACTTCTTCCCTAGAAAATTCATTAAAGGAAAAAAATAAAGGCTAGAGCAGGTCAAACCTAATCCCAGTTGCCTCTAATGATAATCTAGTCACCATCAGTCACCAGCCCAAAAATAGTCAATTTCATAGCTAAGATGTGTTGAGGGGAGGGGGCCTTATTAGGCTGGTACCAGAGTCTCAGTGCAAGCTTGGTAAGGAAGTCTACTGGCAGGTTATCTGTGGGAGCATCTTGCCAGAAGGCATGAGCTAAACACATGTGCTAGAGGCAAACCTAAAATCTGGGGCTAGAAGTGAGTAGCTCAGGCACCAGAGCAAAACCAGACTAAGGAGGAATAGGGTCAATATGGAAAAGCCACCAGGGACCAAAAAGGGGGGAAAAGGGAGAAATTTGGGACTGGGGTGATGCATATAGAGTTTTTGAGGAAGATGGTGCCATGCTGTCCTAAGCTGCAATAGGAGATTTTAAAGAAAGAACCATGAGCTATATTTCAATATGGAGTTTTCCCACCTGGTTAGTGTTGAGAGACAATTCTCCATGGTTCTCTGAAGTTTCTGTACATCTTATAAACAGGGGCACTAACTGACTTTATTCTAGATTATCTTTTCAAGGATGTTGGTATGGTGACCAGCCTTGGATGACTGAGAGAATGTCTCTATTCAGAGCAAGGTCAAGTTTGTTTTTCTTTAGCATGATAAATATGTCTCCCCCCAGGGTATAATCTGACAGGTTTACTTATAAAAGATTTGGGTTTCCAAAGCTTTTTAGTATCATACCCCACTACATGTGTATAATCACCCGGCCTTCTTCACATCACCTTGCTCAGGAAATCAGCACAAATGCTGATACTCTGGGTATAGCTATTAATAGTAAACTACCCTTTGTTTCTGACCCAGGAATCTTGTGTTTTTTGTTAGTACCTACCTATCTTGGTGGCTTGCAATTAGGGTAAAATTTTAGACCTTCACAGTTCTCAACAGTTAATATAATTTGGAAATAATTTTCATCTCTCTTATCTGAAACCTGAAGATAATATTGTCATCTAAAGTACCAACAAATATGGACTTCAGCTTCCCTATGCTCTCTTTGCTGCAGGGAAAGTACTGGGGTAAGTAGAGCCATTGAAACTTTTGACTAGGTTTCTGGTATCTCTTGCTGCCGGTTTCCCAAAATCTTTGGCATAAAGGGTAGAGAGATATAAACTGTAATTACACATATGTGTTGGCTTACACTGGTTTTTAAATTCAGTAATAGTGCCTACGTTAAGATTTTTTTTATCACATTCATATACTTACGCAGAAATACTATATAATTATCTTGTCATTTTGTTAAGGTATATTAATTTTGATCATCAGTGGCCTCTATTATCTCACATGGATACCAACACCTATCTTAAACTGGGTTTGGGATTTTCCACTCTTCATTAGATTTGGCTGCTGTGAACCACCATTCAATACACATTATGTGGCTTGGTGTGACCCTGTGTTCGATTAGCCCCTTCCAGGAGATTGTCATGACACAACTAATATTCAGGATATGGATAAGATATTTGTGTGACAACTGAGAAAGATTAGAACTTTAATTATAAAGTCAAAATTCTCTAAGTAACAGGAAAGAAACATTATTAGCTTCTAAAATTATTTCCTGTTTTATACTCTTGTAGAGAATCAAAAAAATAATGTGACTCACAGTTTGCTGCTAGCAGATACAAGATGCTTTTGAGAATCCTTCAGCCTTGGTTTTGACTTGTTTTGCCATTGGTAAGAATTCTAAAACACTTGATCCAGGCTTCTTGCAGATCATTGCCTCCCCCACCTCACTCCATTATAACTTCACACCATGTCTAAGTTTCTAGAAAAAAAAAAGATATATATATATATATATATATATATATATATATATATATATATATATAAATTTCAGCAAAATGGAAACTGTAAAAGCCAACTCCCCACTCAATGGCTACCTTGAGATTTATTTTCTGTTCTCTTCACATTCAAGCTCCTGTGTAACAATGTGACCTTTTTAAAAATACACAAATTAGTAGTTATAAATTGCAATTTCATTCACGCTACAGAAATATGGGAATTCTAATGGCATTGGCAATTAACTTGTCCATTTGTGTTCAATTTTGGCTTGCTAATGTATAATGATTGGTGAAGAAAAGAGCATAGGTAAATAGGAAACACGACCTATAATTTATAATTACACATATGTATTGGCTTGTACTGAATTTGTATTTAGAAACAGTGCCTAGATTTTAACTCTTTGAGTTGAGCTTTTGTACAAAAGAAGTATTTAATTATTTTAGAGGTTTTTCTGTTTTTATGGATCAATTTGTGACACTATTCAGAGTGTCCATCTGTTCTTCATGAGTTCTGGGAATATAGTAAAGCTTGCATGTTATTTTTTCCCCATTCGTAATGAAGCAGAATATAACCAAAGAAAGAAGACATCTACATATTTATTAGCCAAATAAAATAATACAATATAACCACTAAGATTTTAAGCTCGCAGGAATTACAATAATAAAATTGGGTTTGCTTTTATTTCAGGTTATTTTTTTCCACTTTTTTCTTCTGAGAGTACAGATGAAGCATTTACAACAATTTTTAAAAACCTGGCAACACCATTAAATGATACTAACTCCATATAGTACCTAATTTAAAATAAAAGGAACTTTTGCTCTCACTCTTGATTTTCTTGTTTCTCATCGGCTGGTGGAAGAGTTCCCAGCCCTGATTTTTCATGCCTTCAAATATTGGTTTAAGATGCCACAAGAGTCTGCCTTAGTCAGTTTGGGCTACTATAACAAATTACCATAGACAACAGAAATCTATTTCTCTGCAAAGTCCAAGATCAAGCAGTGGGCAGATTCAGTGTCTGGTGAGGACTAGATTCCCAGTTCACAGAAGGTTGTTTGTTTGCTGTATCCTCATGTGGTGGAAGAGACCAGACAGCATCCAGGGTCCTCTTTCATAAGAATACTAATCCTAGCTATGGGCTCCATGTGACTTTATGATTTAATCACCCCTGAAAGGCCCAACCTCCTAATACCATCACATTGGGGATTTGGATTTCAACATATGGATTTGGCAGGGAGCAGGGGATGACACAAACATTCAGTCCATAGCAGAGTCCATCTAATTTACACATAAAGTTCAAAGGAAGGTACTTTTGCTACCAGGGAATATTGTACATTATTTCTTAGAGAATATCTAATATGGAGAGACTAAATTACATCTATTTTGCTTTATAATGGCCAGTTGGTAAAACCTGCCAGAAATACTTGAGTCCATTTTTTATAGAACATAACATTTTGGTGGTCTTTCATTTCTATGCTAACATAAAGACTACTCAGGTTTTCCTCAGAAAAAGATCTTTATAGAAAGCTCTGAAATGTGCCATAACTGGATTTTCTCTGAGAAAAAGGTATCCTAAAGATGGAAGGAAATGGTAACCTAAAGACATCTTAGTAAACTTTTCCAGAAGATTTCTGTAGTGTTTGCTAAATCACAATATTAGAGACTTTGGATGTAATTGAGACCTTGGCAATTTTAGGGCTGGTTATTGATTCTGCCACTTGTAAATCTCATTGTCTTACCATATCTAAGAGTATTGAACTTTTTTAAGTTACTGAACAACTTTAAGATGATATGAAGTATGAACATACATTAAAAAAATCAATTAAAGGTCAGCATCGAAAAGCTGCCTCTCTATTCTGAGAAATTCACATGGGGACCCTGCCATTGGCTGTCACACATTGTCAGGACTCATTCTCATTAACACCGATGGATATCAACTCCTTTTTTTTTTTTTTCTACTAGAAGGAAATCTCTTTTGGTATGCACTTTTCCTAAGATCCAGTGTAAGATGGCAGATAACAGGACTGACATACAGGGAGAAATTAGGAGTATACAAGAGTGTCAAGTAAAAAGCAGCAGAGATGAATTTCTTGAGGAATATCCTTGCAATTATGTTCATTCAAGAATATGTGCTGATTCAACTCAGATTTAAATATATGCTGGGAATAAATCTGTATAGTTAAGAATTATAAATCAACAATTTCTTGCCTGTTTTAGACAGTTCTTAAATAGCAGCTTTATCATCTTATTTTTCTTTGTAAGCATATAGGATAAATCAAAATACAAAAATTTAAGCAACAAATCATATTTACACTAGGTATTATTATTCACTCTGAGGACAAATAATTAGGAACAAAATATTTCATACATATGAATAGAAAATTCTTTTTGCCTAAGGCAATAAGTATTTTACTTGTCTACTTGGGAGGACGTTATAAAGAATCTTATGAATCTGACTTCAGGCAATTTGTAATCCATCAATTAGCTCCTGGTTGTCTTATTTATGCCCTATATTTTATTGCACTCGTATAGATTCTGATACTTTATTATTTCCATTCTCCCTCTATATTTTATTACTTGCTTTTGCTTTAGCTCTTATAATATCTCCTCTCTTTAGGTCTTCTTAAAATTTATTATGGTTGATAGATTTCAGAATGCAAGAGGCAGAGAATGAAACAGACTGAGCATAAGCTTTGAAGTCAGGCAGGACTATGCCTGAATCTCAGTTCTACCACTTACTGCCAGTGTGGGCTTGGGCCGGGCACTTAATTTATCAGAGCCTCGATTTCTGATACTATAATATTAGGACAATGGCAATCACCTTCCACAATTGTTGGGAGCATTTCAGATAACATATATAAAGCATGGTAGTAGCTGATGGTGGATTGTGGTATCAGTCTGGCCCTCATTGGCACGTACTGATTAGCATTATCAGGAAAGAACACCTGGTTTGAAGGATGGGTCCAATAGTTCAAAGACTACTCCAGACCGGATTCTGATTTTGGTTCTTTTTAAGATAACTACCTAGCCCAGTTTGGTTGGGACTGGGGTAGGTGGGACCAGACTTTTAGTGCTAAAATTGGGAAAGTCCTGGGCAAATGGGAACTGTTGGCCACCCTAGATATTTGTTTAGGCTTTATATATAAGATTTTTGTTGAGGCTTTATATATAAGACAAAGAACCACTCAAACTAAGTATCATAAGAATTGTGTTTCACTTCCCTCTGTCTATTGCAGGAAAAAAGTCCTTGCACCTTGAGGAAAGGCTCTCCATCTAGTAGGCGAACCTTAGAACCAAACCAACCAGGGATGAAATGTAGCTGCAAACAAGGCCAAGCAATGGAGTGGCAACCACCAGTGCAGTTAGCTCATAATTAAAACTTTGAAAAAAAAAAAGGGACACCTGGGTGGCTCAGTGGTTGGGCAGCTGCCTTTGGCTCAGGGCATGATCCTGGAGTCCCAGGATCGAGTCCCATATTGGGCTCCCTGCTCATGGAGCCTGCTTCTCCCTCTGCCTATGTCTCTGCCTCTCTCCTTCTGTGTCTCTCATGAATAAATAAATCTTAAAAAAAAACCTTTGAAGCATGGTTAATTATTAATAAATTATTAATTATGAATTATCGCCCTCTAACTTGGGGTATAATTTTTCAGTTTTTACTAGTAACTGAAGAATGAAATGCTTTGTTGTTTTTTGACATATATTTTGACAAATAATTTTTATTGAAGTATGATTAACATACAATGTCATATTAGTTTCAGGTATATAATATATTGATTCAACAATTCTACACATTATTCAGTGCTCATTTGGTCAGCATTCCAACATGCCTCCTACAGCTACCTCTCTCTTGGCTTCTACTTTCTCACCAACCCTGTGGCTCTGGAGGAGGTGGGCCACTTCTTCCTGGAGTGGGCAGAGAAGCGTGAGGGTGCTGAATGCCTCTTGAAGATGCAAAACCAGCCCAGTGACCACTCCCTCTTCCAGCATGGGCAGAAGCCATTACAAAATGGGTAGAGTAAAATCCTGGACACCATAGAACTGCCATGGCTCTGGGGAAGAATATGAACCAAGCTCTTTCGGATCTGCATGCCCTGGGGTCTGCCTCTATAGACAACCATCTCTGTGAACGCCTGGAGAACCACTTCCTGGATGAAGAGGTAAAACTTATCAAGAAGATGGGGGGTGATCACCTGACTCACCTCAGCAGGCTGCCCGGGGCCGCAGGCTGGGCTGGGCATGTATCTCTCTAAAAGGCTCACCCTCAAGCATGACTAGGAACCTCTGAACCCAGTTGCCTTTGAGGGACCCCTCTGGCTTCCCCCTGGTGTCAGTGCTCCTGCCTGAACATCCCCCCACATCCACTAGGCAGCTTTTTAACCACCCTGGAGTCCTCTCCCAACCTGTGGACCAAATAGAAACAATAAAGCCTTTTGCAGTAAAAAAGTGGTTTTGTCATTTTATTTTATTTTATTTTATTTTTGGTTTTGTCATTTTAAATATGAACATACTATATTTGGACCACCTGGACATTTATCTGTTGCATAATTGGAAACTAGAAATTGAAGCAAAGAATGACTTTCTCTATCTCAAAGCTCCCCAGGTATCTTGGTGTTCAAGGAAGATTATACAATTTCACTCTGATATTTTTAAAAAATACTGTGTCTCCTCCTAGACACTTGTGACAGAATTTGCTGCTTCTGCTTTCTTGGCTCAGTCTTATTAACGTCTAAGGATAATTTTTCTTCCCAAACAACTTTGTTGTCTCATTAACAAGTTTAGCAATGTCACATGCAGATGGTATAGAGAAAACTAGGTCAGGTTTCTCGGTTAGTCCCTTGAGCAGCCCTTGAGTGCTGTTTTAATTTAATACTTGTGTGCATATTTGTAGGAAAAGAAGAGATTATTTGGTGAATAGTTTTGACTCTATTTTAACTTCAGATACAATCTCAATTTTAATGACAAGGAAACTAGATCTAGAATATATTCCAAGATCTACTGAGGGTATCTCCTATACCCTATCTACCTATATCTAGATCTATATATCTATTGATCTATTCAAACTGTTTTAATTTTTAGGTTTTTCAAGTGACTCTATACCAGTGATTCTCAACCTGGCTATACTTTAGAATCATTAGAGGTTGGGGTAGAGGGTGGGTGGGGTGTAGGGAGGGACTTAAGAAATACCAATGCTCAGGTAGCATCCATCTCAGGTCAATGAAATCTAAATCTCAGGGTAGGTCCAAACATTTGAATTTTTTTTTTTTTAGAAATTTCTATTTTATTATTTTTTAAAGATTTTATTTATTCATGAGAGACAGAGAGAGAGAGAGAGAGGCAGAGACACAGGCAGAGGGAGAAGTAGGCTCCATGCAGGGAGCCCGACGTGAGACTTGATCCCCAGACTCCAGGATCACGCCCTGGGCCGAAGCTGGCGCTAAACCGCTGAGCCACCCAGGAATCCCCCAAACATTTGAATTTTTAAAAAAGATCTCCAAGCAATTCTAAATGCTTTAACAACTAAACTCTCTCTTACAGATCAAAAAAATTCAGAGGGCAAATAGTTACAGAATATCAGGCATTTTGTGACAACTTTAATATAATCATATTGAAATTAGAACCTACATTCTATTTTAAGGGGTTCTTTTTTCACTCCCCTCCTGGGAGCCCTCTCATATGCACTTCTAGGGAGAAGTGTAAAGTAAGTGCACACTTATAACATCTACCTCTTTAGTGAATATGCTAAATGTAGGTCCACACAAGGGCCTATGCATGGAGACAAGCAAGATGCTTATCTTTCTTCCTCCCAAACAACTGTCTCCTTCTTCCTGGACCAAGCCCTGCTGGTCCTGCACTGAAACTTGGGAGGATGTGCTTATCACAAATGGAAACTGGGAGTTTTGGCTTCCTCCCTTGAATTTTTAATGTATTGAGGAAACTAAGGGGAATGGTTCTCCCAATAATAAAATGAAAACATGAACTTCAGAGATGGGTTTGCTAAGAGGAAAGGGGGAGAAATGCATATCAAAATTTAAAGGAAACAGCCATTTTGCTTTCTCCTTCCCTAAATAAACAACAGTGACAGCAACTTTAAAAAATAAATAATTTGAAGGAAAGCTACCTTACTTTAAGTGTAAAAGATTGCAATTTAATTTGTAACTCATGAAAATAACAAGGAACAAAAATGATAGTATGCTCAACTTATTACTTGGATATCCAGGTCTTAGGATGGTAGGAAGGCTGTGAATCTCCAACACAGGACAATTGAGAGCCAACAACAGAATAAGTCTGCCACCTAGCTGGCTCCAGAAGTTTCCTTATTTTCTAAGGTTTATAAGTAGTGGTGGTAGGAAATGGAATAATGGAAGGGGGACAGAAGGGAAGGAAAAAGAATTAAAGGCAGATACTAAAAGTACTTGCGGACAGTAATATAGGGTAGTTAGTATAGTGAAAACTAAATTTGAGGGCATTATTAACAAGCATCTGGGTTTGGTTGGGTTTAATTGTTTCCTTCAAAAGAAACACACATGCCACCCCACCACCACCACCACCACACACATACCAGGTGCTAGATGATGGGGAGAAAAGAAAAATAAGGCATCATTTCTACACTCAGGGAGCTAACTCTCTTATTGGAAAACTTATTTCTTATTTTTACATAGAATAAATAAAGAATAATTTAGACAAATCACTGAAGTGATTGTGTATTTTTCCATTGTTTAGTTTTCTGATTATAAAGGGGATAATGCTTATTGTAGAGAAGTTAGCAGTTACAAACTTAGAAAGGAAAATAATGATCACCCCTAATTCCTGAGCTCTTCCTGTTCTGATATGACAGCATCTTTTCTTCGGTTTCATCTTCATTTTCTCTCTCTCCACTGGCTCCTTTCTCTCAGCCCACAAGTGTGTTATCTCTCCCTCATCTCAGTATCCTCATCATTGTAATGGGGGTAATTGCAGCTACCACTGAAGGTTGCTGTGTGATTAAATGAGGTAATATAGGTAAATGCTTGGAACAGTATCTACCATGTGGTAAACACCATACAATCGTTATTTTTAAATTATTTTAGATCAGGGCAGCCTGGGTGGCTCAGCGGTTGAGCGCTGCCTTCAGGCCAGGGCATGATCCTGGAGACCCGGGATCGAGTCCCATGTCAGGCTCCCAGCATGGAGCCTGCTTCTGCCTCTGCCTGTGTCTCTGCCTCTCTCTGTGTCTCTCATAAATAAAATAAATTTAAAAATCAATCATTTTAGAGCAAATATACAAGAAAACTTTTTGCTAGATCCTGTTCTCCCCTAACCACTGTCTCAGCTGTTCCCATCCCTTGGCTCCCTGATCTCTGCTGACTTTATTCTCTTCTTTCCCCATTGTAATTAGACTGCTGTCAGGGAGTTGCAAAAGTGTTAGCTTGCTCTCAGCATATTACCCAGAGTGTTTTTCCAGCTCAGCTGAATCTCCAGTCACCTCCATTTCCTCCCAGTGTCCATCTACCTTATAGCACTAGTCAATCTGATGCCAGTTCTGATCCTTTTCACCTTTTCTGGAAATGAAAATCCAGTCTTTGAAAACAAATAAAACAAATTTTAAGCTTTGACATCCATCCTTGAGCATCTAGCCCTAAGCCTTTCAGTCTTCTACCCACCTAAACCTAATTCATTCTTATTAAGCACTTTCTCTACAGCGTTGATCATAATCTGACTTGTATTGTTGTTGTGTGTCTGTCCTTTTGGCTGGACAGGCGACAGTGAGCATTTTGTTGACCTTTGTATCTCTAGATCCTGTTTCATGGATATTTGTCAAATTGTGTTGAAGTCCTGGTGGGGAGGGTACTGCTTAAGGCATTTACTATTTACTACTGTGGGTTTTAATTATTAAGGTATATCTCTTCACTTCTTTACTATATTTTAAGGTCTTTGTGAGGTGGGAATCTGGCCTTTTCAGTTGTATTTACCCCACAGGGTTCAAAATTGTGTCCTGCATATAAGAGGTACTTCCTAAATATTTCTGAAATGATAATTACCTTTGCAGAATACTTTATACTTTACAAAGCTCTTCCACATGGATCAGCTCATTGAATCTCTTGGTGAGCTTCCAAGGGCAGCCCCATTTGGCAGAAGATGAATGAAAAGACACACACTAGTGGAACTAGCAAGGGCTCAAGTTAAAGGTGTCTGATTTTAGATGTCTCGGTTCTCTCTACTATACTCTCCAGCCTGTGAAACTGAATGTAACATCATTTCATGCAAATAGGTTTTCCTGAGTGATCAAAATGGGGAACATCTGGCTGGAGATACAGGGGAGCTCTGAGGAAGAGGTGGGGTTACTTGAGAAGGGCTTGGAAGTGTGCCTTGGAAGAACATGCAGTATGTGAGGCAGAGAGAAGGTGAATGATGCTTTGGAAGTTATAGTATGTGAAAGGTTTTGTATTAAACCTAGTTTCACTATTTCATATTTGAAAAAAGCAGGTTGCAGAAAGTGTTTATTTTTAAAGGAAATGCATGAATTTGGCAACTAAAATTACAGTTTAATTTGTAACTCTGTACACAGCAATAGGAATGACTGTGATGGGTTCTGCAGGCAACGCAGCAAAACCCTGAGGCTTTTTACAATCTTTCAATTTTTAAAAAAAGTCTTTTTATGGTTATTTACAGTCTAACGTAGGTCAACTAACTTGGTGGTTTTTTGTCTTCTCAAATAACTGCTTACAGTAACACACCAAGGGTCTATCATTTAGACTTTGGATATAACATTGAAGTTATTTGTTTCTTTCCTTCTGTTTATAGTGTATATTTATGGACAACTTTATTATGGTACAAATCTGTAGCTAAATGACATTTCCCAATATTGCACCAAGAGACTGGTTACTCCAGTGATTCTAGTAATAACATTTTACACATTCTTTTGGCTTTCAACAGTGTCCTGTCAGATAACAAAGCTTAAAAGAACATCTACAGTGATGAAAGCCTTGTGAGGTTGCAATTTCTCTACATCTGCTTCCAAAACCAACCCTATGTAGCAAGTTATGCTTGGTGAGGCCAATAATTCTAGGTCATTTATTCTTTTATTGCTTCTTTACTATTTTGTTCTACTTGACTGAATAGGTTTTAGGAAATACACCATGGGCATGCTGATTTCCATTCGAGTTGCTCCAGCTACACTCTACATTTTTCCCTTTCTCCCTTTTGAGCTCCACTTGAGAGCTCATTTCACCGTTCAGAGCAACTTCAATTTCAAATCTTTTCCCTGCACACAACCCATTTCCCATTCTTGGCTCTGTGCCTTCATTCTTGAAGTCTAAAGTCATCACTTAGTATGTACCCAGGATTCTCTTGGACCTTTGTTTTTTAAAACTAATATACATTTTATTTACTGATCAAGTTTCCCCTACAGAAAGTATTGTTAACTGCGTATGCCAT